ATTCTTTATATGATGTTGTGCAGAACTAAGACTATGCTCATTTTAGACCTATTATACATTTTTTTTAATTTGGTGGAGAGATTCCTCTGAATTCTCCTTTTTGTCTTAAATTCATCACTCCATTTCAAAGAAATTTTAAACAATATGTATCCACAAACAAACTATATTTTCACTCTTATGTTTGTAGTAAGAGGAGGCCCTGAGAGATAAACCTTGGTATCAGAGGCCTGGTATGAGGCCTAAGGCCTGAACTAAAGTAATGGTCAAGACTTTGCTAACATAAAGCAAAGTTAAGCTGTGAGCCAGAGGCAGGCCCTGCTCACAGAAGCTGGCAAGGAAAGGGCTGATTCTGCAAAAAGATACATACCTAAAAAGTACTGAACACTAGATATTAGAACACTCCTATACTGGAACATTCCACAGATAACATGGAACAGGCCGACCCATCCCAATGACAGGGGCAAAAGGGTAAAATGATGGATAGAGTTGTTTTGATCGAACCAACATGTACAAGGTGAGAGGCGGCACCTTACTACGTAGGGAGGTTGTACCTTGCTACGTGAAGGGGTTGCACCTCAATACGTCAGGAGTGATGTGTAACTTGTTTGTACCCGTGTATAAGAATGTATCCCTGGGGTGGTGTCTTTGTCCGGCCGAGGGGGCAGTGGAAAGTCCCACCACTGAGCTGAGTCCATTGCCGAGCGGCACTGTATTGCAGTATGCCCGGTAGACTAAGTAATCTACGGGGAACTGAAATTGTGTCAGGGTCGCAATAAACCTGGCCGAGTTGCCTTTGTACCTTACTAAGACTCTGTGGTTATTGGGGATTCTCGTCGGGTTTGCTGTATCAGCTATCTGCGCAGAGCTGGGGCAGCACACAGAGGGAACACACGCACGCAGCCGAGTGACATCAACAGGAGAAAGCAGAAGCACCACCCTGGTAGCATCTCACAACAATGTTACTTTTGCAGGAGTAAACTAGCACAATTAGGAAATGAAGCAAAATAGCCACATGAATTTCAGTTCCATTTCAGAAAGAGAAAAAATATTAATGTATGAGATATAGTCAAGGGTAAGATCAATAGAGAAAAATGATTTAAAGCTATCTAAAAGGGTGTTATAAGGAAAAAAAATGGTAACTAATCCCTACATTTAGGAATAAAAAACTGCTGCACTTTGAAACTCTGCCCTAGCAGACTGTCTGAGTTTGCAAATACATGCTGCTTGCCAAATGCACTGGTATGAATACAGACAGTCAATGGGCCTTCATACCAATAAAAGCACCCCAAATGAAAAATAAAAGATGGTAATAGAAAACTCTTCCATAATTACAGTCACAAATTACAGCAGGCAAACAAAGGAACAACGACAAAGAAAAATGTAATAAGAGATGGTAGTTCATGGTCAAATTAGGGAAATGCTTCATACTAAACCTTAGAAAATAAGTAACATAACTAAATAGGAAAGAAGAAGGTCAACATAATGTTCTTAAAGTAAAAATTGCTCCCTGGTGTCAAACGCTAACATTGTGGTGTTAGTGTGAGAAAATAAGTAGCAAATATTTCAAAATGTAATTTTAATAACACTATGAAGAGTAAACTCATTTCTTTGGAGTTCCAGAAACCACCCCTTTTTATACATTTATTGTTTCAAGAACATAATGTATTATATTTTTAAAATTCGGAGGCAACCTAATTAATTCCTGGTGTAATTATGGTATTATATTACTTATTGTTATTACTACTACTACTACTATTACTGTGGTAGTACCCAGAAGCTAGGTCCTGTACACACACAGTAAAAACAGCCCTTGCCCCCGAGAACTTACAATCTAAGTTGAACCAAGATTCAACAAATCAAATAAGAAACAAAAGAAGTGAAATGGGGGGAAGGAAGGAGAGGGGAGGAAAGGCAGGTAGGTGAGTTAATGCTAGGGTGACCAGATAGCAAGTGTGAAAATTGGGACGGGGGTGGGAGATAATACCCTATATAAGATAAAGCCCTGAATATCAGGAATGTCCCCCTATAAAATCAGGACACCTGGTCACCCTAGTTAGTGCACATCTTCCAAAACCTTCTTTAACTACATCAGAGTTACACCAGGAATGAATTTGGCTCCTGATGTTAAATTTAAAAGTAAAACAAAAGATAACAGAAAACTCAAGTGAAGAACACGTAAACTGAGAGGGAAAGTAGGAGAGGCAGAAAGAAGCTAAGGATAAGCTGCAATATTGTAGCTGGTGAACAGAGATAAGGGAGTAATATCTCCAGTGTGTTTTGGTGGAGCTGCACCCTGTAGTAGAGGAAAAGAGAGAGGAGACAGATGAGGGAGCTAAATCATGAAACGAAGATGAAAGGAATAAAGGGGGTTCACAATGTAGAGGGAGAGGAGAGTTGTGCCATACAGTGATGAAAAGGGAAGTAAAGATCAGAGGATGCTGTGCTGTGTAGAGGGAGGAACTAAAGTGGCTGAACTGTTGGTAGACAGTATGTCTTTTTTTAAAACCTGTCTGTGTTGTCATGCTTGGAGTCGGAAAGATGTAGAATATGTTGATTTAGTAAAATATTTTAATGGAAATTTCTAGACCACATAAGATTTCAAAACTTTCAGAAAATGCCATAGCCGAAATTTTGGTGTCTAAAATGTTGGTACCTAGCAGGGCCGCCTGGGGGGGGGGGGGGGGAGGAACAAGTGGGGCAATTTGCTTTAGGCCCCGGGCCCCACAGGGGCCCCCACGAGAATATAGTATTCTATAGTATTGCAACTTTTTTTATGGAAGGGGCTCCTGAAATTGCTTTGCCCCAGGCCCCCTGAATCCTCTGGGCAGCCCTGATACCTAGATAAAAATGGTCAGATTTTCAAAGAACCTAAGCACTTGCTGCTCCTGTTGACTTAAAATGGATTCACAAGTTTCTCAGCACTTCTGAAAATCCGGCCGCTTATATCTAGGTGTCTAAATATGAATTTAGGAACCTACATTTAGAAACACGGGTTTGAAAATTTTGGAGACATACTTAATTCCCCAGATTCTTGGTCTCTTTTGGTATATGTATTAGAGCCCGTACAATGAAGATAAAATAATAATAAAATAAAAATAAATAAATAGAGATATCCTATCTCCTAGAACTGGAAGGGACCTTGAAAGGTCATTGAGTCCAGCCCCCTGCCTTCACTAGCAGGACCAAGTACTGATTTTACCCCAGATCCCTAAGTGGCCCCCTTAAGGACTGAACTCACAACCCTGGGTTTAACAGGCCAATGTGCAAACCATTGAGCTAGCCCTCCCCCCCATTATGGAGATTTACCTATCTCATAGAGCTGGAAGGGACCCCAAAAGGTCATCAAGTCCAGCCCCCTGCCTTCACTAGCAGGACCAAGTACTGATTTTGCCCTAGATCTCTAAGTGGCCCCCGCAAGGATTGAACTCACAACACTGGGGTTAGCAGGCCAATGCTTAAACCGCTGAGCTATCTGTCCCTGTATTAGTACCTAAAAATGTATTATTTCAATTTATAAACTAAATCAAATATCAAGCCATCTGCCGGTAAAGACCAGAACAAGAATATAAGATTGATATGCATTAGATTCTTCAGTGGGCACACAGCATTAAACTGATCACTAGTGAAACTCCACTGAGGTCAACCAAATGACATCAGAGATGCACTTGCCCAGTCTACATACACTTCCATCAGGTCTCTATTTAAAATATGTTACTACTGTATCTATAGGGCTGTGCTTTGGTACAAGTATCTGCACACATGAATCCAGTTGCAGGCCTTGATTAGTTTCCCCTGTTGTTTGTGTCTGTCTTTCATGCAACAGGAAATAGAAAAAAAACATTTAAAAACTAAGGAGATGTGATTGTAAAACCGTAAGTTAGGAGGATGTGGGAGCCATCAGTAACAGGTGCGGTATGTGAAACTAATTTTAACTTATTTTTTAAAAAAAACTGAGTAGGTTTTCAGGATTGCTTTTAAGGCTGCACAACCATTTTTGTTGTGGACCACTATTCTGAGTTGCTTGTAAATTTCTGAACTTTTCCACCTTGGACATAGAAATTTGCCAACTTGCATTTAGAGATCAAAACTAACTGGCCTACTCTCCCATGGTACCAATACTTTCAAGTTAGGTATTACGTTTTTCAACTTTCTAGAAAAAACATGTGAAGTCATGCTGCAGAAGGGGAGCAGGAAGGACACCATTTTTAAGAGCACACCTGCACTGACTGCCATGACCTCATGTGCACAGTGCATGTGATGCTGTGCCTGAGTGGCACACTCTTAAAATAGGGTGACCAGATGTCCCAATTTTATAGGGACAGTCCCAATTTTGGGGTCTTTTTTATTATATAGGCTCCTATTACCCCTCACCCCGTCCCAATTTTTCACACTTGCTGTCTGGTCACCCTACTCTTAAAATGTGCGTTCAGATATTGGACAAAGCCATGTCCAGATTTGCCAGTATCAGCTGGGGGACAAGCCTCCCCAAAAGGGTGGTCAGTTCAAACTGGATGAGTGGCCTCCCTAATATTCATGTCTCTTTAACCCAACGCTGACTGTTGCAATGATTAGTGTTAGGCTTTTGATATTTACAGAGCAAGGATTTGCGAACCTGCCAATACTTCCTAAAACAGGCAGCCCCCAAGCCCTTTCCAAGTTGTGTCTTTTCCACAAGGTGACTTATTCTGAGCACAGCAGAGCTTGGCTGCCCTCCAGCCCCAGGAGAGCGGGGCTGACCCCGCAGAGGAGCCAAGCGTGGCGCCTCCCGATCTCGAGCCTGACACAAGAGAGAGCCCGGCAGGCCGAGCCCGCGCCCCGGGGCGGCTGTCGCTGCAGTGCGGGCTGCGATCAGCCGGGGAGCGCTGGGCTCGGACACGCGGGGATGGGCTCGGGCCCAAGTTGCCCGCCCGCCGGCAGGCCAGGACGGGGGCGTCTCTCTCCGCCGGCGGGAGGCGGAGCCATGGGCGGCCCGGCGCAGAGCAGTCTCGGACCCGCCCCGCCCCCGCTGGAGGCCGCAGGCAGCGACAGGCTCCGACGCGGCCCGGCCTGGCGCTTCAGTCGGGATCCTGAGCCGGGGGACGGGCTGAGCCATGTGGGGCCGCTACCTGGCGGCGCGGCGGCTGCTGAGCCTCAGCCGGTGAGGAGGGGCCGAGCGGGGGGCGCTGTACGGCGGGGGGCGGCGGTCCTGGGCCCGATCACCCCATCCACCGGCTCACACGCATCGCCCGCCCCCAGCATCTTCCTCCCAGAAACCCCCCAGCCCCCCCCCATTCGTCTCTCTAGCCAGGCCCCCCCAGCCCCTGTATTCTCCCCCACAGCATTCGTCTCCCTACACATCCTCCCAGTCCCCCACCCCCTGTATCCTCCCCCACATCATTCATTTCCCTAGACATCCCCCTTTCCCCCACCCCCTGTATCCTCCCCCACAGCATTTGTCTCCCTAGACATTCCCCCACACCCCCTGTATCCTCCCCCACAGCATTCGTCTCCCTAGACATCCCCCTTTCCCCCAGACCCTCTATTCTCCCCCACAGCATTCGTCTCCCTAGACCTCCCCCCCTACCCTGAGACCCCCTACTCCCTGTATCCTCCCCCACACCCCACAGCATTCGTCTCCCTAGACATTCCTCCCCACAGCATTTGTCTCCCTGTAACCCTTCTGGATATTGCCCCTCCCCCCAGTTTGTGTGCTTACAGTACCAAACTTCCTGTTATCCCCTATAAATTCTACATTCCCCTTGTCCATACACACCCTAACATATCATCCTGACCTTCTCTAATATGACCCCCTCACAGTCCCTACTTCTGATAACACTCCCTCCTGCCTGCCGTTTACACACATGGTCCTTATACGTACCAACATGCACAATTTCACCCCCGCTGTTAATCTGCTACAGAAACACCTCCCTTAGTCAGGTCATAATCTATCTGACACTGCCTCATAGAAATCCCTCCTTCACACTCCATAGATCTTAATCACTCTATGGTCCCTCCTTCTAACTGTCCTTCCCAGCTACATTTCTAATATTGCCCTGATACACAACCTACCCCATTCTATTATCCAGAACTTGTTCAATTCCCTGATATTACCCCAGCAAAACTGTTACTTCACTTGAAGTCTTCTACCTCCTATAACTCTGATCAATGTGACATAACCCAATGATGCTGATTGCTCTCCCCAATGCTCACGTTGCTCCCTTAAAATATTGCATAATTCTGGGCCATGTCTACACTGGAAAAACATCCACAAAAATTCCTACCAGTTCAGCAAGAAAAACAGACATAACTAACACAGAGGTAAAAATAGGTCTGGCCTCTGGAGTAGTGATTGCACTAAGGCTTTGCTGAACTGGTGGGAATGTTGTTGTTTTTGTTTTTGTAATTTTCCCAATACAGACAAGACCCTAAAGTTGACACCCACCCTAACCAATGTTTGCCTCTTTTGTTTTAGGCCCAGATCCTGAAATGAGCTCAATATAGTCAGATGCCCATTGAAGTCAGTGAAATTTTGTGTGCACGGGGGACGGAGGGGTTGTTCATATGAAGCTCCAATCTTGCAATAAGCTCAACTTTATCTTGTAAACTCTTCTAGGTAGGAACCTGGCATTTGTCTATAGCAGTGGTTCTTAACCTGTGGCCCATAGGCTGCTTGCGATGCAGTCAGCACCCAATTGTGGCCCAGGTGACATCGTTGGGGCCATGCAGGTAGCATTGGATGCTGCCCACATAACACATATGCGGCCCACAATGGCAAATAGGTTGAGAATCACTGGTCTATAGGATGCAATATTCATAATAATACACCGTTTTCTCCACCCCCAAAATTAAGCACAGAAAGGGGATGGGGTAAAGAGAAACCTGCTTGTGCGGTTGCATCTTTTTTCAAAAAGAAAATTTTATTTCAGGACTTTGAATCAAAAGTCATGGAGGTGGAAGAGTGGGTCTGCAAATGAAAAAGCACTACAATACAAGATAGGAGAACGAATCCATGGGTTCACTGTAAACCAGGTACAATATTGTCTTTTTCTCCATCTCTCACTGTGATCACTTTATAACTGGACAGAAGAACTTAGTGTAAGATGTTTCCCTGCAGAAGTTGACACCAAGAGTTAGGGTTGCAGGGTAAATTTTTACATATATGCTTTGAGTATCAAATAGAAGCAGATAAAATATTCTTGTGGACAAAAATCTTTAGGCAATGCTAACACAAAATGCCTGCTTTAAAAGAAGACCCTAATTCTGCTAGAATTTGTGACAGGCAAAACACAGTGACTTGTGTGTAAACTTTGGAGAAGAAACTCAAGCCATTGAAAACTATATTAAACATTCAATCATCTGTCAGTACTTGTATTTCACTGTGTGTTCTTTGTTCTTTATTTGTTTCTGCAAGTTATTACAAAAATATGAACTCTTCTTAGGTCGGGGAGGCCTATTTATTGTAGTGGAACTAGCAATATTTATATAGCTCTTTTCATCTGATATCCTTTTAAAGGAAGTCAGTATCATTATCCCCATATTACAGAGGGGAAAACTTTAGCACCCAGAGTTGGAAGTAAGTTGGCCAAAATCAGTGATCTGTGCTAAAGCGAGTAATAGAAACCAGATCCTTAGTGCAGTGCCCTATCTTCTGAATCTCATGCTCCTTACAATTTATACAAGTGGCCAAATTGTTCAAAGATTGTTTCCTATACCAGACAAGTATTGTTGGTTTCTATTGCAGATACAACTATAATTTCTGCCCTTCAGGTAATTGTGTTATTTAATTTATTTTTCTAGTATTTATTCACCTCTAATTCAACATGCTATGAAAACTATCTGCTAAAAATAGACTCGCACCACTTATGTTTTATTCACCAGCTAAGTTTTATTTACAACCTAAGGCTCTGATCCTGAAATTGATGCAATTTAGTGGCTTCTTGAGTTCCATTGAAATTAATCAGACTCCATTTGGGTGTGAGGGCCAGCTGCAGGATGGGGGCATAAGTGCTTGATCTGGCTCTCTGAAACATGGAGGTACATAAGTACCAAATGGTCTTGCAAAATCATTTATAGCACGTGGAAGTATCTGTCAGTGACAGTGTACATAACAGTGCACTTTTGAGCAAATGGGAACACAATAAAATCCTAGGCATTTCTACATAGACCAAAAATATTTAAAAATTTCTCCTTATTACTTTTTCTTAAAAATAATGGTGACTTTTTTGGTAATATATCAAAGGGTTGCAACATAAAACAACAAAGACAAGGAAGGTAAAGCGTACTTGCATGTAAAACATAGTGGGATGACTGTTAATCCTTTGAATGTGCCTGACTTTAATATAATATTGAATTATATGGTGGTGTAATCTTCCCTATGAAATTCTTTGGTTTTGCTTTCCATCGTAACCTTAATTTCTTCTAATTTAGTTCAGTTGTCTTTGATGTGCAGCAGAGGCTAGTTGGTTCTTTTCATAGTGTTCACAAATTATTTTACCTAGAATTTATCTAAATACTAACATGGAGGTTTTCTTCCAATTTAGGTAACAGCTGTTCCTGAGCTATTCCTAACTGCAGTGAAGCTTAGTCATGAGAACACAGGAGCCAAATATTTACATGTGGCACGTGAGGACTCCAATAATTTATTCAGGTTTTCATTTTAATATTAATATTTATAAAGCACCTTCCACATGAAGATCAACCTGAGACCTGCAAACACTAATACAGCTTCATAATACTTGAACATTACTAATACTTTCCATTTAAGGAGCTCATAGTTGCAAGACTTAAAAAAAAATCCTATTTTACCAAAGTGTTGTAAAACTTAATTTCTCTTCTGCCTTTCAATTAGTGAAATGAGTTTATTTTTTCAGTAAGGAAAAATTCATACTATCAAATCCATTTCAGAATGCGTTATCAATTTCTCTTATGTTGATTGCTTATCTTTATAAACTAAATTGGTGTAAGACCCTCTTAAATGGATTTAAGACTTTCTACACAAGGGGGTTGTGCTGTTTTTAACTTAAAGTGGTACAACTTTCATATGTAGTCAAGGCTTAATTCACACAACATACCTGTAAGGCTAGTAACAAATATTGCTATAGTCACTGTCAAAAGGGGATGTACATTTACAATACTGGGGTTAGCTACTGTAGCTGTTTTATCGACAACCTTAGTTACTTAGTTTGTCTGCTGAACCGCATATCATGCACTGGAAAAACACCATATCTCAACCAAAAGATATACGTTCTCCTGGCAAGCCCCCAAAAGTCCTCTAATTGTGAGCTTGGTGGTTTCCCCTTGAAAGAAATGATATTCCTGCCTCCCAGCTGCACCAGTATTGGAAGACTAGTTTAGTTACTAAACCATGCTGCCTTTCACATAAGGCTAAACTACAAAACAAATAATAGATGTGCTGTCTTTTGGTCACAAACCATTGTGTTGCATTCTTTTATAGTGTACAATTTCGTACCACACCGCTGGACAGTACTGGTGTTCCACATATCCTTGAACACACTGTGCTTTGTGGTTCTCAGAAGTATCCTTGCAGAGATCCTTTCTTTAAAATGTTAAACAGATCACTGTCCACTTTCATGAATGCATTTACAGGTGAGTTCAAGTTAACTAAAAGCATATAATTCAGCAGTTCTCAATCTGTGGGTTGGGAACCCAAAGTGGGTCGCGACTCTGTTTTAATGGGGTCGCCAGGGCTAGTTTAGACTTGCTGGGCCTGAAGCCCGAGTCCCACCACCTGGGGCTGAAGCTGAAGCCAAAGCCCAAGGGCTTCGCCCTTGCACCCACCTCACCCCCTCTGCCCAGGGCAGTGGGGCTTAGGGTTTGGCTTTCTTCCCCCTTTTCCGTCCCACTTGGGGCGGCGGGGCTTAGGCAGGCTCAGGCTTCGCTCCCTCCTCCTGGAGTTGTGTAGTAATTTTTATTGTCAGAAAGGGGTCACGGTGCAGTGAAGTTTGAGAACCCCTGGCATATATAATATTGTTAATTATCTTTTACTTTATGATTATGACTTACTTCCTAAATTCCATGTTTATTTTTATTTGTTTTGCTATAATTATTTATAAGTATTGTTGAGCCTCTCTAATTACATTGACTGGGAGATCCATTGCAAAATATTGAATTTTATAAACGAGCAAGCAAACAAGCAAGACGGTGCTGATTCACAAAATGTATTTTGTTCATTTGACAAGTATAGGTTAGTTTTCATATACTATTTGACACTTCATAGTAATATAAGTAAATGTTCTGTTAGCATCACTTTTACAAAACAGCCATCTTAGCGATGAGTTTCTTACTACAGTATCAGATGTTTGCTGAGGAGTGGAGAGAAAACATCACATTCTATAGACGTTATTGGGTGCGCAAATTAACGAGGTTCTACTCTGTTCCAGTTAATTACTTGGACAATAGAACTTAAAATAAAAATAGGAAGTGAAATGCACTGCAAACTTCCTAAAATACTTTGGTCATTAATATTTGACTTTGTTTGTATACAGCCAGTGATTACACACTCTACCCATTTTCATCACAAAATCCAAAGGATTTTCAGAATCTCCTGTCCGTGTATTTGGATGCTGCTTTTTTCCCATGTTTGCGACAACTAGATTTCTGGTAAGACTTGTACAGTTGGGTGTATAAACATTAAAAATCAAAGACTTGCTTATAATTTTAAAACTTTTACAGGCAAGAAGGTTGGAGGTTAGAACACGAGAATCCGACTGATCCTCAGACACCACTAGTCTTCAAAGGAATTGTTTTTAATGAAATGAAAGGGGCATTTGTAAGTTCTGGCTTTTATTATCAACACTATTTATAAAGGTGCATTGTGAATATTTAAAATAGTCTAAATTGCAGATTAACAATTTTCATAGTTTCATTGAGTTTGAATAGCTCCACTATCCCCAGTATTAACCTCGTATGCTCAATAGTAATACTGAAGATAGATTGAATAGGATTTATTTTGAAGGATAGTCTGTTGAAAAGCTTATTATTTATATAAATGTAGTATTTAAGTAGTGGATCTTGCTGTTCTCCTATCTTTTGAGCAAAGATTGGAATTATAATGTTGCAGTAATCGGCCATTAGTCATCTGATTAAACAGTGATGACAACTTTTTAATAAAAATTGTTGTATTAAAGTCAGTGGAACTGGTGGACTACATGCTTGTGTAAGAATTACTTTTATGAGTAAGGCCTATAAGATCAGGTCTTACTGATAAATATTTTTAATCTTAAAATTTCTTCTGATGGCTTGCTAAAATGTATTTTTTTCCCTTTAAGACAGACAATGAGAGGTTATTCTCACAACATCTACAGAATAAACTCCTTCCTGATCACACTTATGCTGTAATATCTGGTGGAGACCCATTAAGTATTCCTGACCTTACATGGGAACAGCTTAAACAGTTCCATGCCACTCATTATCATCCAAGCAATGCTAGGTACTTTAAATTGTTGTTGCTGACTTCTTAGGTGATATACTGGGGATTACTTGTGTCTCTCACAATAATGCAGGTATTTACTTTATATTAATGTTTACTATGTAAGGCATGGGGCAAAATTTTATAGCCCCAAGAATGGATAAATAGGTATGTGTGTATGGTGGTTTTTTTTTTTTTTTTGGGTAAAATTTTTGTCACTCATTCAAATCAAGCCCATATTGGAAGTCACAGAAAGATGTTATAATCTGATGGCTCTTCAGTGGCTGGTGTGACATGAGGTAATGATATCAGATTCCTACTGGTAGGTGTTGACAATGCTCAGCCATTAACTCTGTTGGTATATTTGACAAGGCCTGCATAGAAGCTAATAATTGACTTGACATGGAGACTTACAGATGATTCCTTCAGATAGAATTGAGGGGTATTAGTGGGGAAACTTGTATTGCTTCTGCCTTTTCTGAACCAATCCTGTGCATAAATAGAAATTCAGTTTAGAGGGCTGTCAATCCAGTATCTTTCATGAGAAATTAATTCAGCTGTTGGGATGCTGACCTCCCAGCTCACATCCCGCTGTTTTCTTTTTCTCTTCAACCTGCTATTTCTAACATGTCTGAATATTGATCTTGATAATCCAATATGCTCTTCATAGGCAGCTCCTAGAGCTTGTGTAGAGCCCCTGTAAATCAATGATGCTTCTTGCAAGGGTCTGCCTTGGTGGAGCCAGTTGAAGGATCAGGTCAGAAGGATCAGAAAATTTGTAACCTCATTGAGGCAAGGATTGTGAGATCTTATCTGTATTGCGAGCAGCTAAATAACCTTGCTTCTCTTCTAGAAAAATAGGGTGTTGGGAATTTAGCTGTTGGGATTAGGTTGTTTGGACACACAAATATTTTCCCCCAAGAGTACTATATGATTGTCCTACAAACTAGCTGCTGGCTTCTAGTGCTCTTGACTTCAGTACATGAAACTGACTGGAAAATGGCGTGGGCTCTTCAGCTCTGAATAACTTTCTGATTAGTGTGTGTTAGTTTTATTTCTGCAGCAGAATTTTTGGTGGCATTTTTGACAGGTTTGTGGGCCATGAAGACGCATTCATTTCTGCGTATAACTAACTCACTAAAAGATGTATGAAATTCAGACTTCATTGCTACTGTATTATGCATGCAGACTAAAAAATTAAATCCTAATCTTACATTTTAAAATGCAGGTTCTTCACTTATGGTAACTTCCCATTGGAGCAGCATTTGAAACAAATTCATGAAGAAGCGCTGACTAAGTTTCATAGAATTGAACCAAATACTGCCATCCCAGTACAGCAACTCTGGGATAAGCCTGTAAGTAAAGATAAATATACAAACAGCCTTTGTATTGCAGTACTTTAAATATTGATTCTGGTCTGCAATGCTATTCAACTTACTGTTGTTTGTTTTTATAAAACACTCAAACATTTTGTTTGGTTATAAAAGTGTTAACTGTCTTTGGGCCTTATGATAAATTTAAATGATTGACTTCTAGGTTCTGTATACTGTTTAGGGTCTCAGTGATCCCTCAGTGTTTGAAGACTGCCACATTATATTCACTTATTAGAGAATTATCCATCTAGCAATTGACACAGACTGTTGGGAGTTAGGAGAAAATGCAGGGACGGGGGAGGGATAGCTCAGTGGTTTGAGCATTGGCCTGCTAAACCCAGGGTTGTGAGTTCAATCCTTGTGGGCGCCACTTAGGGATCTGGGGCAAAAAAAAATCAGTACTTGGTCCTGCTAGCAAAGGCAGGGGACTGGACTAGATGACCTTTCAGGGTCCCTTCCAATTCTATGAGATAGGAGATGTGGGCTTTATTCCTAGCTCTGCCAGAGGCTTGCTCTGTTCTCATCTAGCAATTGACACAGAGAGTTAGGAGAACTCCTTTAATTTGTACCCAGAGTTAAATGGGATGGAAGTTAAGGCAGGATTTGTTTGGCCCTTTCTTTCTCAATTTCCCACTTGTAATGGAGATACTACCTACCTCTCGTGGATGATGATAAGCAAGGATGATGTATTCATGAATTTACAAGTTAACTCATTAACATGTGTAAAGTGCATTAAAATCTGTGGAAGGAAGATGCTATTGAAACACAAATTATCCTTTATTATTAACTTCTGTTGGAGTTTAATGTTTTAAATAATTTTACTGCCTCTAGTTACTTATGTATTATACTTGACAGAGAGAGCATCATGTGAAATGTGGCTCAGATTCATTTGCTGCAGACCCTACAAAGCAGACAACTATCAGTGTCAGCTTCCTGTTGACAGAGTAAGTGTATTGAAAATGAAATTACAACAGAAGAATCATGCTTATTCCTTTAAATGAGGATCTTACTAAGAGTTTATTTCACCATGAGCATAATCAGCAGAATTGTTTACTGTAAGGATTCTCAAATTTGTTTCATAGTATGGGTCACCTCACATCCCATCATGACTGGGTGGCCCTGCGTGGAAATAAAGAACCAATACAATGTATTCTGTGGACCAGTGTTTCAATGGTTCACTGTATTCTAATTGGTTACATCTATGCAAACTTATTAAATGTAATGGGGTTGCCCAGATGTACCTCAGGGCCTATTTAAACCAGTACAACCTTTATGACTGGCAATGATGTAGCAAGTGGAAAGAACCCAGTTTGGCTGTAGGAGCGCAAGCTGCGCATGCACAACTGTTAGTGACTTTAAAAAACAAAACAAAAACCTCTTCCTTCCCCCCACTTCCCAACCCACCCCCTGTAGTTTGAGACCAACAATAACTTAAATATAATACATAGTACCCCACAATGCCATTTTAAAGAGCACCATGCTGTAACACTGATTTTTTTTTGTTTTTAAACTTACTTTTTTTCCTTAGCATTACAGATACTTTTGAAACTTTCACGCTTAACCTGTTGTCTTCCCTGTTGGTTGGTGGACCTAATTCTCCCTTCTACAAAGCCTTACTTGAGGCCAATCTTGGTACAGACTTTTCTCCTGATGTTGGGTAAGTGTCACAATTTACTTTGCATCACCTTTTAATGACTGTAACTTCTGTAACACTAATACTGCTCTTGTTATAAAATTACTTCCTTTTTTGAAAAATACATCGAAGGATAGGTGGGGAGAAAGCTAACTCTTATTATAATTTTCATGCTATTTTTATACAAGAATCTTCTGGTGTATTTTACTCTTTTCCATAGTGGATCAGTGAAGTATCTTCAAGTGTAAATTATGACCTTGCAAGATACATAAATAGTTTTATTCCTGACTTACATTGATGTAATGGAGATCGGAATAAGGCCCATAATTCACAATCCATGTTGCTATTTTGCTGTTACCGATTACTTGCATACAATGTTTAAACAGTTGTTTTCAAATGTATGTTTGATTCTATACACTGGAGCAAGTTGATTGAAACCCTGTGGCAGTCTCTCGCATGTCAAGTATATATTTTCAATATCCAAAACTATTTTATCTTGACATCTTAAGTGCTTTAGGATTACTTTGGAACAGTCAGTAAATTAATCTTTGGTAGGCTTTTATTTACTTATGGTGCTTTTCTTTTCTTTTTCTGATTGATTTAGTAATGAAATATCATCAAATTTTCATAGTACAATATCTAAGTTATCTTGCATTTCCAAAAGTCTCTTGTAGATCTAGGACATTCTACAGATGCTGTTTTGTAATATATTGAACAGAAAAATGGGACTCTATATGAGTAAAGATACCCATGTGTATAACTGCTGGTAGGATCATTTCCTAAGTACTTAATGTTTTAAATAATTACACTTCATTCCAATTAAAATGACAGTATTTAGTACCTACTAGGTTAATGTGCAACCTCTTGGTAAGAAACTCATTGGTAACTTTCAATTTAGCTTGTATGTATTTATCAGTGCAACGTTAAGAAGCAGCATAGTCTACTCCTGAGAGCATTCTGCGCCAAAAAATTAAAAATTCTGTGCACAATATTTTAAAATTCTGCAAATTTTATTCCTCAAATAAATGAGGAGGCTCCAGCATGGCATTGGGGAGAGAGGCCACTGGCTGTACAGAGACGGCAGGCCACTGTGCAGTTCCCCCTGGGACACGGACTCAACGGTGAGGCTGCACCCAACCCTGACACAGCGCAAGGACCGAGCCTGCCCCAGAAACAACCCAGGGCCTTGCCCATCTGTGCCAGGTGCACCAGGTGTGGGCAGGCAGGCTCAGCAAGGCAGGATCCAAATGTGGAGGGGCTTAGTGTGGGGGATCCAGGTGTGGGTTGAGAGGATTCTGTGTGGGATAATCTGGATGCACGCGGCTCAGTGGGGGATCTGGGTGTGGGGGGGATCTGGATGCACAGCGGTTTGTTGGGGGGCGGTCTGATGAAGGTGGTAGGGGCTCAGCAGCAGGGGGTCTGGGTGTGTGGGGGAAGGACATGCTCGGCAGGGGGTTCTGGGTGTGTGGGAGCTCACTTGGGGGGGCGGAGGTGTCCAGATGCTGGGGGAGTGGGGCTCAGTGGGGTCGGGATCAGGTGTAGCTGGTTGGGGGTCAGTGGGGTGGGGATCTGGGTGCAGATGGCTTGTCAGCTTGGTGCAGGGGGAGTGGGGCTCTGCAGGTGGGGTTCTGAGTGTGGGGAGTGAGTCAGAGCGGAAGGGTCTGGATATGAGAGGGTCTGGGGGCAGATGAGGGAAGCAGCTCCCTGTACAGGGATCCCTCCCCCTTCAGCTGAGGAGTGATGGGTACAGGAAGTGGGACGGGAGGGGGAAGATGGATTTTTGCAGAGGTTTCTGCAGCCGGGTGAGAAATCTGGGGGTGGGTCTGACCCGCCCCTGCATGCCGTGCAGGGGAAGAGGAAGTCCTGTCCTCCCCAGCACAGCCGGGACTAGCAGCTGAGCCCGGTGCAGGGTAGGAGTCACCAGACGGGTCTTTCCCGTCAAGCTTCCTGCCCCACAGTGATTTGCCTCTCTGCTGGCTACCCTGGGCCCCCGAAACATACTACTGGGAAGGGTCGCATGACTGCTCTTGTGGCTTCCCTTTGCTTCCCCATTAGAAAGTCATTTTTCTGTAGAGAAGCAAAAATCTGCGGGGGACATAAATTCTGAGCATGCTCAGTGGTGCACAATTCCCCCCCCCACACCCCCCCGGAGTAATAGTCTAGAGGAATGAGCATAAGTCGGAGAATTGGACACTTCTGAATTCTGGATCACTTTATGGTCTTTGACAAGTCATTCATGGGGGGTGGGAAATTGTAAATGGCCTCTAATTTGCGTGGCTCAGTTTTGGCATGCTGAATTTTAAGTGCAGAGGAGTTGATTTTCAGCGGTGCCGATCCCCTACCGCCCCTATTACATTGGCTTCTGTTGGAATTGTAGGATGTTCAGGACTTTTGAAAATGGGACCTTAGGTTTCTAGAGTTGAGCCCTAAAGTTAGTCACTTGTGAAAACTTGGACTACAATTTCTTTATCTCAGTTTCCCTAAATCTGTTGAGTCACTGAGACATAAACATGGAACCCCCAAAATATCATCTCTGTACTCAATTTTCAAAGACTGCTATATGAAGACTAAATTGTAGGCGCCGTCTACTCACTGTCATAAGTAAAATGTACATGTTGGTTAAAAAAGAGTTTTTTCCTCTTGGTATCTGCCATGTAAATAAAATTATATAAATACAGAAAAATCTTCTGTATTTGAAAACACTAATACAGATTAATTCCAAGATTTTTCTGTCCTGCCTAATTTAGTTTTGGTTCTCTAGCTGTATTTCATTCTTTAGTTTGAACCATGGCTGAAACTTTTTAAAACAGTGTAACATTCCTACTGGAATTGAAAAATAAACAGCTGAAGATTTTGGCTCCTTGCCTTTTTGTTAGGTTTTTTTCTTTTCCACCTTAGTCTATATCTTGTAAATTCTTTCTTCCTTTCTTTCTTTCTTTTTCTTCCTTTTTTTCTTTTTGCATTCATTAACTAGTTATTACTTTTCTGTGGTTCTGTGTAAAAGTTTCAGTACCTACCGCTGGAATAAATGTTTTTTATTCTAGGTTTAATGGCTGCACGAGAGAGGCTTACTTCAGTGTAGGCCTGCAGGGAATTGCTGAGAAAGACATTGAAACAGTCAAACAAATTACTGCTAGAACAATAGATGAAGTTATTGAGTGAGTAATGTTAAAATTCTTGAAGTATTCTTTTAGCAAAAAACTATTTCTAGAAGTATATTTTTAAAATATCAATTATTTTTAAATGTATGAAAACTACACTAAACTAGCAATTTTCAAGGGTTCAGTACTTTTAAGAACTAATCTTATTTCTTGCCCCCTTCCCCCTGCTTCCTTAAGTACTTGTCCTATAGTGTACCCCCACCATAATATTTAGGAGTTAATAGTGCTGTTTTATTAAATGACACACTATGATCTTACTTCATATCAGTTTTATTCTATATGGTACATATTAAGTACCAATGCTTCATCAATACTATAATTCATTTTCATGTCTTTATTTATGATTAGTAGCATATTAATGGGTGCATGCATGCTTCTGTGTGTGTGTGTATATATATATATATATATATTGTGTGTGTAGTATGTATGTATACAACTCCCCTGCATCTATATAAAAAAAAATTCTTTTCCCAAAGAAAAGGATTTGAGGAAGAGAGGATTGAAGCTCTACTTCACAAAATTGAAATCCAGATGAAGCATCAGTCTACAAGTTTTGGACTTGCCCTGACATCAGTAAGTGCTCCTTTTTTCTGAATAGGAAAAATGTCAGTTTTCAACAGTGTCTTAGAATTCTGGGTCAGATTTTGCAAGGCCTTTCTCATACAGACCTTCTACTGAAATATCTCTTTTTTTGTCTCCCTTCCTTCCTTCCCCTCAATATCAGCAAAGGTCTGTCGTCATTAGACTTTGTACAGTAACTCTTCACTTAGAGTCATCCTGGTTAACGTTGTTTTGTTGTTACGTTGCTGATCAATTAGGGAACATGCTTGTTTAAAGTTGTGCAATGCTTCCTTATAACGTCGCCTGCTTTGTCCACTGCTTGCAGGAAGAGCAGCCCATTGGAGCTAGCAGGTGGGGGCTTGGAACCAGGGTGGACCGGCAGCCCCCCTACCAACTCCCTGCTCCCCTAAGTTCCCTGTGCGGCAGCCGCCCAGCAGGCTATCAATTGCCGGCAGTTCAGCTGTCCCTCCCGTCACTGCCATGTGCTGCTCCTGCCCTCTACCTTGGAGCTGCTCCCAGGAGCCTCCTGCTTGCTATGCGGGCGGGGGGCGGGGGAGAAAGGGGAGCTAATGTCAGGGTGTCACTCTCCCCCCCGTTCCTACACCCCACTTACCCCATCTCCATGGCCGGAGGGGGGTGGGGGGGAACGACACGACAGGGCTCAGGATGAAGGGAGCTTCCTGGGAGCAGCTGCTGTCTCAACTTGCTGATCTACTTAACGAGGCAGTGTACTTAGAGTGGGGTCAGCCTACTTAAAGGGGCAATGCTCATCTCTCTCTCTTACACAGGGGGTGTGTCTCTGTCTACCATAGTCTCCCCTCCCTCCATTCGTGCTGCCTTGTAGAGTGTGAGGCTACATTAACAACAATGGGTTAACCCTTGAGGGCTCAGCCAAAAGCTAGTTCATCATTTAGCAGTAAGGCATTCCCTGGGAAATATCCCACCCTCTGACTTCACCACCTCAACTAAGCTTCACAATCATCATCGCTGTGTACAGTATTAAATTGTTTAAGTCACATTTTTCAGGAACAGAACTACAACGTTAACGAGGAGTTACTGTATTAGTTGCCTAATTTAGGGCTCAATCCCCTAATGTTTACACGATTAGGTCCACTGGAATTGCTTTCTTGGGTAGCGATTTCTCCTGGGTTTGTAAACTCAGGGCATGGACGTATACATTTGTAAGGCCTCTTGCACCCCATAGTGCTATATATATAATGACTGATTACTTGGTCCCCTGTACTTAGTTTTGCTGCTGTAATTAAAATTCATAGTTTAAACATGAAAATATGCCCTGGCTTGAACGTTTACCTAAAATTTCCCCATAGAAGCAATTGTAGAGATGAGCCCCCTAGAAAATGTGGGTGGCTCTGAAGAACCCTGAGAAGCCTTCTAAGCTTTGTAAAGTGGGGGCTCTGTGAGGATCTGCAGGAGAGGTGGAATATTTCACATTCTGCCTTTCCCAATGATCAACTCCTCTGCTGTCTCCTATTCTGCTACACCCTGTTTCCACTTGTCCACTATCCCTCGCTTTGCTGTCACCCTTCTAGTCTTCACCACTGTGCCCTCCCCCACTTTGCTAGGACTCTCTATATCCTGTTCTCCACTATGTAATCCAAGTTCCATGCTTTCTCCAGCCTGCAAATCCCACCTGTGGACCTCCCTAAGATCCAAAGGAAGTGAGCGTTTTAGGAGGTCTTCTAGAGTGGGATAGTGGGGTTACCAGGAGAGTTGGGGAGGGGACAGCAGCAAGAGAATGCATTAAATAGAATAATCAAATCAAACTTAATTTAAAATGTCTCCCTGCTCTTTTCAAGTCAGGATCTGGCAAAAAGAGCTTTATAAATTTCTCACTATAGTGATCAACATTTTTTAAAATGTCTTCAGCTTGTCTGATTAAATTCTGCTTCAAAAAACCCTCTTTTTAATTGATAAAACTTGCAAGCAATTAATTTGAAGTTTGAGGATTATCTCTGCAAGAAAATACTCTAGAAATGTACTTTATTTAAAAGAAAAAGAATCTGCTTAAGTCTCCAGCAGTAACATCCCATGTTAATCTCTCCATATTTCCATTAATAATAAAAATGGAAATAACTTCAAGTTTTCTAGGGATGATTGTTTAAAAACACTAGATCTTAGCGGAAGTTCAGTACAGTAACTGAGTTCTCTCTTTTCTTTTGTTAATTTCTTGTTACAACAGTGACAAAAAAGCAAAAGTTAGGTTTGTTGAACTTGGAACACCGTAATTTTAGAGTGAAATCATACAGGAATTTCTTTTTTTTTTTTTTAACAGCGTTTGTAGAGACACCTTGAAACTGTCAAATGAATTATTGCTAGAATGATCAAAGTTAATGAGTGAGTAATGTTAAATTCTTCCAAATCTTGAAGTATTCTTTGGAACAATAACAGTTTGTATTAAAAGTCTGTAGAAAAATTTACCGCTGCCCAAGACCTAACCTACCCATTTTTCAATTGATATTTCCTTTGCTTGAAGTTTTTGGTGAGGAACTAGCATTGGTCTTATAATGGAAGCCCAGTTGCAACCTTAACTATGGAGTGATTATCATCACCCAACAATAATTACTTTGAGTATATGGGAATGTTCTTTGAAACAGAAAGTTCCTATGGTATTCTTAAATATTTTTTAGAGTTTTGACAGATAAGAACATAAGAATGGCCATACTGGGTCAGACCAAGGGTCCATCCAGCCCAGCATCCTGTCTGCCGACAGTGGCCAATGCCAGTGCACCAGAGGGAGTGAACCTAACAGGCAATGATCAAGTGATCTCTCTCCTGCTATCCGTCTCCACCCTCTGACAAACAGAGGCTAAGGACATCATGCCTTACCCATCCTGGCTAATAGCTATTAATGGACTTAACCTCCATGAATTTATCTAGTTCTCTTTTAAACCCTGTTATAGACCTAAACTTCACAACCTCCACAGTTTGACTGTGCGCTGTGTGAAGAATAACTTCCTTTTATTTGTTTTAAACCTGCTGCCATTAACTTCATTTGGTGGCCCCTAGTTCTTATATTATGGAAACAAGTAAATAACTTTTCCTCATTCACTTTTTCCACACCATTCATGATTTTATATACCTCTATCATATCCCCCCTTAGTCTCCTCTTTTCCAAGCTGAAAAGTCCTAGCCTCTTTAATCTCTCCTCATATGGGACCATTCCAAACCCCTTCTCTGAAGCTTTTCTAATGCCAGTATATCTTTTTTGAGTTGAGGATACCACATCTGTACGCAGTATTCAAGATGTGGGTATACCATGGATTTATATAAGGGCAATAAGATATTCTCCGTCTTAGTCTCTATCCCTTTTTTAATGATTCCTAACATCCTGTTTGCTTTTTTGACTGGCGCTGCACACTGCATGGAGGTCTTCAGAGAACTATCCACTATGACTCCAAGATCTCTTTCCTGATTAGTTATAGCTAAATTAGCCCCCATCTTATTGTATGTATAGTTGGGGTTATTTTTTCCAATGTGCATTACTTTACATTTATCCACATTAAATTTCATTTGCCATTTTGTTGCCCAATCACTTAGTTTTGTGAGATCTTTAAGTTCTTCACGGTATGCTTTGGTCTTAACTATCTTGAATAGTTTAGTATCATCTGCAAACTTTGCCACTTCACTGTTTACCTCTTTCTCCAAATCATTTATGAATAAGTTGAATAGGATTGGTCCTAGGACTGACCCTTGGGGAACACCACTAGTTACCCCTCTCCATTCTGAAAATTTACCATTTATTCCTACCCTTTGTTCCCTGTCTTTTAACCAGTTCTCAATCCATGAAAGGATCTTCCCTTTTATCCCATGACAACTTAATTTACGTAAGAGCCTTTGGTGAGGGACCTTGTCAAAGGCTTTCTGGAAATCTAAGTACACTATGTCCACTGGGTTCCCCTTGTCCACATGTTTGTTGACCCCTTCAAAGAACTCTTAATAGATTAGTAAGACATGATTTCCGTTTACAGAAACCATGTTGACTTTTGCTCAACAATTTATGTTTTTTTGTGTATCTGAGAATTTTATTCTTTACTATTGTTTCAACTAATTTGCCCGGTACTGACGTTAGACTTACCAGTCTGTAATTGCCAGGATCATCTCTAGAGCCCTTTTTAAATATTGTCGTTACATTAGCTATTTTCCAGTCATTGGGTACGGAAGCTGATTTAAAGGACAGGTTACAAACCATAGTTAATAGTTTTGCAATTTCACATTTGAGTTCTTTCAGAACTCTTGGATGAATGCCATCTGGTCCCGGTGACGTATTACTGTTAAGTTTATCAATTAATTCCAAAACCTCCTCTAATAACACTTCAATCTGTGATAATTCCTCAGATTTGTCACCTACAAAGGACAGCTCAGGTTTGGGAATCTCCCTAACAACCTCATCCATGAAGACTGAAGCAAAGAATTCATTTAGTTTCTCCGTAATCACTTTATCGTCTTTAAGTGCTCCTTTTGTATCTCGATTGTCCAGGGGCCCCACTAGTTGTTTAGCAGGCTCCCTGCTTCTGATGTATTTAAAAAACATTTTGTTATTACCTTTTGAGTTTTTGGCTAGCTGTTCTTCAAACTCCTTTTTGGCTTTTCTTATTAGATTTTTCACTTAATTTGGCAGTGTTTATGCTCCTTTCCATTTACCTCACAAGGATTTGACTTCCACTATTTAAAAGATGCCTTTTTATCTCTCACTGCTTCTTTTACATGGTTGTTAAGCCATGGTGGCTCTTTTTTAGTTCTTTTACTGTTTTTTTTTAATTTGGGGTATACATTTAAGTTGGACCTCTATTGTGGTGTCTTTGAAAAGTGTCCATGCAACTTGCTGGGATTTTACTGTAGTCACTGTACCTTTTAATTTCTGTTTAACTAACCTCCTCATTTTTGCGTAGTTCCCCTTTCTGAAATTAAATGCCACAGTATTGGGCTGTTGAGGTGTTCTTCCCACCACAGGAATGTTAAATGTTGTTATATTATGGTCACTATTTCCAAGCAGTCCTGTTATAGTTACCTCTTGGACCAGATCCTGCGCTCCACTCAGGACTAAATCAAGAATTGCTTCTCCCCTTGTGGGTTCCTGTACCAGCTGCTCCAAGAAGCAGTCATTTATATGCTTAGGACACCTACTAGTATTTTTCTTTTTTAAGAAAATGAAAATGGAGAACTGTAGAAAACATAATTTTGATAAATGAAGTTCAAGAACAATTTTTCTTCATTTATTTAACATTTGCTTTGTAATGTACTTTATTTCAAGTCCCCTCCTCCCCCGTGTGTTTCTTCTACTGAACAGAAACTATCAATCTCTTCAGTTCTGGTTCTTGTATAGTGTGTTGGTCAACTTTCAATAGTAGTTTCACAAATTTTAAAATTAATAACTCCTCCCACATAAGTCCTAACAACGAAAACAAAACCTCCAAAACAAAAAGACTTAGCAGATTTCTTCTTATAAAATCATATCTACTTTAACAGTGGTCCCATTTAAACGCAAAACTGAGTTATGTAAAAAACACAGTCTGCTTTTTAGGCTGAAAAACTCCTACAAATGTGTAGTTGATTGTAGAATCTGATCTCTCTTTGCAGTTCTGGTTCAATTTTACTTTTTCCATGTCCTTCCTCCCAGTTGAACTGAATATTTGTTTATTCTAAAAAGTAAGGGGATGGATGAGATCTGGGCTAAGGGGGAAGAATGTGGCAAAAGACTCCTTAAGGTGAAAACTTGGAAAATTGGGAGCCTGCCAAGGTAACTTTTTTTTGAGGAGGGGGAAGGAGGGAAATAACCCTGATGTCCCTTTTAACAAACAATAGTGTCGCTTTTATCTTGATGTACATATCAAATGGCAGTATTACTGAAGTGCTGCATGTTGCTTGTCTGCTATAAATATATAAACAAGACTGGTAATGTGTGTGTTCTGGAATAAGCAAGCCAATCCATGAAATGCCTGTGTGTGCAGTTAAATGTCATGTTTATCTAATTTCTTGTCAATCAAGTACATAGCTTCCTGCTGGAATCATGAAGGAGACCCTGTGGAACTTTTGAAGATTGCAGACAAAGTGACTCAGTTCAGACAGCACCTCAAGGAAAACCCAACATTTCTTCAAGAAAAAGTTAAACAGTATTTTAAGGTAAGGAGACTAAAGAAAAAGCTCTTTTAATACTAATTTCTGTATCACATTGTTTGAGCCTGTGACAGTAGTACTAGCTTCTTGATTTTTTCATAACTATAGAACCCATTATTGTAGGTAGCTTAAATGTCCGCATTTACAGATGGAGTCCATTCATGATATATACCGTAAACCTTTGGCAAAAATAGGCGATAGCTTCATTTTGAAATGTCCAACTAAAGTGTGTACACGAACTCATGGCAAAATGCAAATGTGAAATTACCCAGGGTACAATCCAGCCTGCTTGAACAGCTGTGTCCTGGGGTGCCTTTTACACTGCTTCACTGTGAGAGCAGTCACTCCTGGCCTTGCTCACACACAGCCTCTTGCATGTAAATTATTCCCTGCTGAGTTATGAGTGCTCCTAGCCAGCCACTCCTTAATTGTATTGCAGAATGACACTAGCAAATCCCCAGACCCATACTTCGCCCCAGAAATGTGCATCTTGTTCTGCCCAGCTCTTTCCTTCTGTGTAGTGCAAGCTCATAAAAAATCTGTCATTTAATTAATAGAAAACGATATGCACAAATCTTGTTATACCAAATAAAGTTTCTCAAACACTTCAATCCAAACACACAGTGGTTTAGATAAAAGAAACAAGTTTATTAACTACAAAAAGATAGATTTTAAGTTATTACAAGTAATGAGGCATAAAAGTCAGAATTGGTTACAAAGAAATAAAAGGTAAAAAATAGGCTCTCGCCATATGTTTACAGCAATCTGACTGGATTTTCTCCCAGTTCAATGATGCTTCTTTCATCTTTCAAACGTTGATGCCATGAGTGGAGATGAGGCTTGAGATTATAGTCCATTTGATTTTGTTGACATCTAGCTGAGATGTCAGTTTGCCTTTTGTCTCTGAGGAAATGGTTTGGGCTGCTTCCCTAGATTTGGAATATGCCTTAGTAACATCCTACAGTAGAATCATATAACTTTATATATAATGAAGCCACACATATTAAGAACATAAGAATGGCCATACTGATCAGACCAAAGGTCCATCCAGCCCAGTATCCTGTCTACCGACAGTGGCAAATGCCACGTGCCCCAGAGGGAGTGAACCTAACAGGTAATGATCAAGTTATCTCTCTCCTGCCATCCATCTCCACCCTCTTACAAACAGAGGCTAGGGACACCATTCCTTACCCATCCTGGCTAATAACCATTAATGGACTTAACTTCCATGAATTTATCTAGTTCTCTTTTAAACCCTGTTATAGTCCTAGCCTTCACAACCTCCTCAGGCAAGGAGTTCCACAGGTTGACTGTGCGCTGTGTGAAGAAGAACGTTCTTTTATTTGTTTTAAACCTGCTGCCCATTAATTTCATTTGGTGGCCCCTAATTCTTATATTATGGGAACAAGTAAATAACTTTTCCTTATTCACTTTCTCCACCCCACTCATGATTTTATATACCTCTATCATATCCCCCCTTAGTCTCCCCTTTTCCAAGCTGAAAAGTCCTAGCCTCTTTAATCTCTCCTCATATGGGACCCGTCCCAAACCCCTAATCATTTTAGTTGCCCTTCTCTGAACCTTTTCTAATGCCAGTATATCTTTTTTTTGAGATGAGGAGACCACATCTGTACGCAGTATTCAAGATGTGGGCGTACCATGGATTTATAAAGGGCAATAAGATATTCTCTGTCTTATTCGCTATTCCTTTTTTAATGATTCCTAACATCCTGTTTGCTTTTTTGACTGGCACTGCACACTGCATGGAGGTCTTCAGAGAACTATCAACGATGACTCCAAGATCTCTTTCCTGATTAGTTGTAGCTAAATTAGCCCTCATCATATTGTATGTATAGTTGGGGTTATTTTTTCCAATGTGCATTACTTTACATTTATCCACATTAAATTTCATTTGCCATTTTGTTGCCCAATCACTTAGTCCTGATCTACATTGGAGGGGGAGCGGGGGGGGGCGGTTTTGCGATCGATCTAAGTTACGCAACTTCAGCTACGTGAATAATGTAGCTGAAGTCAACGTACTTAAATCGACTTACCGTGGTGTCTTCACCGCGGTGAGTCGACTACTGCCTGCACCTGTTGCGCTGGAGTACAGGAGTCGACAGGAGAGGAGTCGGGTTGATTTATCGCGTCTAGACTAGATGCAATAAATTGATCCCCGCTGGATCGATAACTGCCTGCCGTTCCGGCGGGTAGTGTAGACATTCCCTTAGTTTTGTGAGATCTTTTTGAAGTTCTTCACAGTCTGCTTTGGTCTTACCTATCTTGAGCAGTTTAGTATCGTCTGCAAACTTTGCCACCTCACTGTTTACCCCTTTCTCCAGATTTTAGAGTGAAATCATATAGGAATTTGTCTTTTTACAGGAATTTGGTCACTGCCAACTAAATTTCATGAGGGAGAGAGTAGTTCCTGTTATAGACTTGGACAGCATGAAAGAAAAGTGTGAGCTGAAAGCTGCTTTCCGAAAGGCACTATTACAGTTTGAAAGTACTTGAATGGCTTTAATGATTTAATGTTTTGACATACATAGCAAAGGAATGCAGTACAGGGTTTCTGAGAATGTCCTTTATAGTATAATTCTGATGAGAAGTTTAAAAGAGAACCCACCCGCCCCATCCCTCAAAATAGAAAGTGATGGTGGTAATACTCAGAGATGTTCTTATATCTGAAGATTTTTATTTGTTGTTACAAGAAGTATCCTAATATAACTATAGCTGAACAATTAGAGGTGAGGGAAGTCTTTTCACTCTATACATTTGACAACACTTCCCTAATAAAAAGAACAAGGAGTACTTGTGGCACCTTAGAGACTAACAAATTTATTATGCCCAAATAAATTTGTTAGTCTCTAAGGTGCCACAAGTACTCCTTGTTCTTTTTGCTGATACAGACTAACACGGCTGCTACTCTGAAACACTTTCCTAATAGTAAGTTTCACTGTTGCCCTGTATAATCAGTCACGTTTCCTTGTTCATGTGGACCTTTCACCCAACAGGGGAGAGAAACTCCTAAAATAGGAAAGTGCCCCAAGTATTGATAGTGGGTCTCAGAAACAATTGTATCTTGACCTTTTTAAACTAATATTTTAAACGGACAGTTTTCATGTTCACTGTGTCCTTTTAATAGCCTCCCTAATATTATATAAAATGGAAACTATTGGAGTTATATGATTAAAATTCACAGTAAATATATCAGCTCTCTGCTTCAGAGTAGAAAACAAAGTATTTAATAGCAATTATGAAATTTCACAATGCAGGTGGGCTCCCTAGCAGGAGAACTGGTATTATTCATTGCACCTCTGAGACTGGATTTCAGGTGGCTGTATAGGATATGTCTACCCTCTTTGTGGCTTGGAGCTCCATTTCATGTGGACTCTGAGCTCTTGCTCTTAGGTAGACAGTGGGACGTGCCTGGGGAAAGGGTCTAATTAGGCTGCTCTACCTATCCTAGCACATTAATTAGGTGTATTTTCTAGGACATTCGTGTCTGTGGCCTTGTCTATGAGAAAGTTACACTGGTGTATTTTATATTGATTTAATTAGACCAGTGACCAATATGTCATTGAGGGATGATGGCTGCTCAAATGTCACAGAAGGCTGCTTGTGCTCATTCTTGTGGCTATGTGCATCCTTTTCTACCCCTTATTTATTAATGCATCAAAGGGCAGGATTTTGCCTGAAAGAAATAATGAGACCTTAAGTGGCTTCAGATGATATGCAAGCAAAATAATATGCATGCGGCATATATCTGCTTGGTGATGGCAATGATCTAGGGATCTGAAGATGAAAGGGAGGAAGAAACAGTCCTTAAACTTAATATTTTGTTATGGGAATGTATTTGTACAGGATAATCCACATAGACTGACTCTGTCGATGAGTCCAGATGAAAGCTACTATGAAAAACAAGCAAAATTGGAAGCAGAAAAACTGAAACAAAAGGTTAATGCTCTTTCTGAAGAAGAGAAGAAACAAACGTATGAAAAAGGTTAGCATCTTGTAACGCTTTTTTAGTTCTGATAACGGTTTAAAAAAATGACAACCAGCTATTTTATTTGTCACTTGTAGAATATTTACAGTTCTTTGATATATACCAGAAGTCCATCAGTATTTGTTTTGAAAGTGGAAGATTTTACTGATGGGTTTTTTTTTTTTTTTTAGTAATCTGTGTGTGCTCGAATGTGCATGCAAAAGACAAATGTATGGTTAAAGACATCACCAATATATTCCACTATTTAGAGTACTTTCCACTTAAAAAAGGAAGAAATTGATCAGAGCCTTGGAGGAGAGGGAGAAGGCAATGTTCTTTTTAATATAACCTGCTAATACTAGAAACATATAGTGAACTTGTTCTCAAGACAGCAGACATATCCTCAGTTCCATCACTGTTGTGAGGGAAGTTTGTATGAGCAAGTGAGAAGACCTGTATAACACTTCTGAAGAGCTTGAGCTTTCTTTATTGTTTCCAGCCTCTTTTGCTTACAAAGATAACTTTCAGAATGTGAACTGATGCAATGATGTCTTTTTCAGGCTGCAGATTGTAGTCTCTCTAACATTGTAATTTACTCCAGCAGCTCCTAAGTGAAATTAACAGGACTTGGAATCTGTGTGCAACTGTGAAACATACAAACATGATGTTAGTTACACTCTTGGTACTTGGGAAAGCTATAAACATCAGAAGTAGGGCAGGCTATAAAGTACAGTATTCACCAAGGAAAAGGGAAACAAAATCTAGAAGAGTAGAGAAGCTGAGATACTGCTTCAGAGTAGTCTGGAGGTTCTGGGCTTGGGAAAAGAAGAGCAGCTTAAAATTTAAATTATGGAGATATACCTATCTCATAGAACTGGAAGGGACCCCGAAGGGTCATCAAGTCCAGCCCCCTGCCTTCACTAGCAGGCCAAGTACTGATTTTTGCCCCAGATCCCTAAGTGGCCCCTTCAAGGATTGAACTCACAACCCTGGGTGTAGTAGGCCAGTGCTCAAACCACTGAGCTATCCCTTCCCCCAAAAGTTTTCTAGCAACTAGGTGAGGTTGCCTACATTATAAGGTGAACTTGAGGGGTTTTTAACAACCACTAGCCAGAGGTGGATATAAAAGATAGAGGTTGAGGTTTTTCAAACAGACTAACTGATTTAGCCACACAACATGTAGCAATGTCCGAAGAGAGAACTCTGGTAAGAATTTCAGGTGGATACTGAGCTTTTCACCTGAAAGCTGTGTTGCTATTAGGCGGAGGTCTTTGACATCTGCCTGGTAGGTGTCTGGTAAATTTTGCGAGCTCTGGATCACGAGCTATCATAAAAAAGGGTGGAGATAGAAACACTTTATTCTGTTAGGATGGTGATGGATTTTGTATGATGCCCTCTGATGTGCATTTCAGTAAAATACAGTGACTATAATAGTTTGCAGGAGCTGTTGGGAATGGGAAATATCACTCTTATCTGCCACAGAAATGTTTTTTTTTCCCCTTAGCTACATAATTTCACTGGGTTTCGATAGCTTTTATTGGAAACCTTTAAGCATTAATCTTAATATTCCGCTTTATTAGGTTTGGAATTAATTGCTCTTCAAAGCAAACCTCAGGATACCTCCTGTCTCCCGGCTCTAAAAGTATCTGACATTGAGCCTACAATCCCGTTCACTGAGTTGGAGATGGCATTTGCAGGTTAGTGTATTTAAATCTTTTATAAAATGAAGGAACAGTTTAATTTGCATTTTACTTTGAGAAGTAGAATGAACGGGAAATCAAAAGGCTTCATATATTTGGCAATATATTGGTTCAGATTTAGGCTTTTATTCCATATCCCTAAATCCAGGTTGCTCTAAGATGGTTGCAACACTTGAAATACAATAAATAGTGTAACTCTACCTATCTGGTCCAGGAGCTGTTCTGTAAATTGACGGAGAACGAGTAATTGTAGATTACTTGTATTAATTATAAGAAGATTAATTGTAGAATTGTAGCAAAATCCTGAAAGTGATATTGGGTTGCACAAAATTTTCAATGGGAGCCTTTCTGCAAAACAGCAGTCTTTGACAGCAGCAGTCGAAATGGACTAGAAATACATGTGTCTCAGATTCCCCAATTGCCTTGTTGTGTCATCGGTTAGCATAGGCTATAGAACAGAATCTGCTGCTTTAGCAACTAAAAGTGGTAAGAAACATTATCCATCAGACTGAAATCACTAAATTGAATAGAGGAAAAACAAACAGGTGTATACTGAATAGCTGTTGTTTTGTTGCCAATTGCTAGCAAGTGAATATAATCTCCCAGTTATTACAGGAACCTGTACAGAATGAAAAATTACACTGGCCATCCACTAAATATCACCACTGGGCAGAATTCCAAAAAGTACCTGTTTCTCTGGTGAAAAATGGAAAGGTATTTCTTTCAAAATTTAAATGTCATCATTGAGACCAATGCATAATTTAGTCAACCTACATTGTTGTGGTACCACATTATAATAATTAGAAAACACTTTTATAACAGGAGCAGCATAATTAATTGTAATGAACTAAAACACCTCTGCCTCTAAGAAAATGTTGAAGGATCAAATTCTGGTCCCAGAGGAGCATGTGAGAGCTGCTGACTATTAAAGGCAGTTGGGTAGTTTGATACAAAAATTGAGTTACTTCAGGCAATCAGAGTTCAGAAATGTTTCGGTTTGTCTGTCATGTTGTTCCCTGAGTTTTGATAGATATTGACTTATGCAATCATGCTATACAGTGTTCCTTAGTAAGCATACGTCTTTGTGTACACATCTCTCTATTGTCACCTCTATTCCACCTCAGTTTCTCTCTCATTTCAGCACAAGCAACCCCTCCCCCCAATTTACTTAAAATGAGGGAGGAGGAAAATAAAGCAAAGAAAATGGGGCTGAAAATTGCTTTTTCTGGGTTTTTTTAAATGATTGTTTCCTTCTTTTTCTCCTTCCCCCTCTTCTCCTGTACTCCTCCAAACAATACCCTCCTTTCTTTCCCACAGGTCAGCAAGACTGTTGTCTCCACATCAATAACTACAATATATTTGAGTTTTCCACTGGTTTTGTTTACAATGAAAACATCACAGCTATTCTTTGGAGATGATGGGGTCAAGGGGAAAAAGGGACAAAGGGTTCCTTAGTGCAGTTTTCAAAAACACTTTGCCTTTCAGTTGTTTGACTGCTTTCTCTTATTCTTGTATGCAGTGGTGTTGTAGCTGTGTCAGTCCCAGGATATTAGAGAGACAAGGTGGGTGAAGTAATATTTTTTATTGGACCAACTTCTGTTTGGTGGGAGAGACAAGCTTTCAAGTTACACAGACCTGAAGAGGAACTCCGTGTAACTCAAAAAGTTTTCTCTCTCTCTCTCTCTCTCTCTCTCTCTCACCAACAGTAGTTTATTGGTCCAATAAAAATATATTACCACACCTACTTTGTCCTTCTCTGACTCTAAAACTTAAATATTTAATGATCTTTCTCAATCTGGTAATTTGGAAGGTGATTCCTACTGAGTATAACTATATACTGGCCTAGAAAACTCATGATTCAATCCAGGACTCATAACAATACCTTTAATTAAAACAGAAAGTGGCTTCCTATTACCTTTGCGGTGTCAAAAATAACTCTAGTATAAAGTCCTTTTGGCAAATGTCATAGTTATGATGTGCTCAAAGTGAGGGATGCAGACTACAATGTTTTTCTCTTGTTTATAGCTGATGAAATCCCTGTCCAGTACTGTGCTCAGCCGACCAATGGGATGGTATATTTCAGAGCTGTTTCCAGCTTGAACACACTTCCAGAGGAACTCAAACCATATGTGCCACTCTTCTGCAATGTCATTACTAAGTAAGTTAATTTAGTGTATTTGAAGCTGTGAGGATGATATGATGTGTTACAATACATGGAAATAATATTGATAGAAAGCAATCGTTCTAGGAATTGTTCACTATCTCTACCTCTGTTTTCTGTAATTTCAGTGATGCTTCAATAGTAGAAATAATTTTGATTATGGAGGAGGGTCTGAGACAGTTAGCCAGTAAGCTTGTAAACCACTTTATTTATCAAATACAAAATAGTGTATTAAAAATGTATTTTATTTTTTTTCTTTGTTTAATAGCATATATTGGGTATTTGCTGACATTTAAAAAAACAACTAGTGTCTTTATTAATTAACCCCCCCCATGTATTTGATAATGCCTCAGATTACTTAACCTTACCCTTCTAAGTTACATTGTGTATTTGTATTGGACAACTTGGATTGTTTCTGGTTTTACTATATGATTGAACTCGGTGAAAATAAAACACTACTTTTTTTTTTTTTTTTTTTTTTTTTTTTTTTTTTTTTTTTTTTTTTT